GATGATAATGATAAATACTTATGATAATAATGATGATGATGATGATGGTGATGATAATATGTATGCTGATAATGTTGATAATGATGATGATAATAATAATAATGATGATGATGATGATGATGATATTAATAATAATAATAATAATAATAATAATAATAATAATTATTATTATTATTATTATTATTATTCTTAGCGCACTCCGCAAAGAGCCTCAATGCGCTCCACACCACAGAACAAAGAGGCTATAACACATAGTAGCCAAAGCCAGCAATACCAGATACGTACCTGATAAACTGATGCCGTTTTTCTAACCGGGTTGGATACAGTACCAACATAAGAATAGAAGTAGATCGTCTCGTCGTCACCACATTCTATGGCGTACGAAGAACCATACTCGCACCGATCGATAGAACTTGATCCGCCGTTACTGTAAATACAGTACGGTATATGATATAATGTAAACAGTTTTTATAGAATTCTACAGAAAATTGAAGATTTTTTTCTCTATATAAAACCTATCCATTCTATATAGAGATAGTTCTATAGAAATTGAAAATTATTTAGAAAAAGAAATCTTCTGGATAAATTCCATACAATAGCTTAATTGTTTAACTGTATATCTCTGTAGATTTTTTAAATATTGTTTCTTTATAATTTATATTTCTTTTAGAAAAATCCTGTAGAATTCTTGTACAATTCTTATATTTTTCTTATAATTTTGAAATATTTTCGATAAAATTGTTTAGAAATTGTACAGCTAAGTGTATAGAAACCTAAAATGCTTACCGGTACTCTATACATCTCATAGAATTATAGAAAAAAGTTTCTATACAAAATTTACTTTGAATTTCCTTATAAAATTTATTAAAAAGAAATCCCCTATAGAATAATATCTAATACAATTCTATACATTTTCTATACAATATTTGTTATGATCTTGATCAATATTATATAGGCATTATTAAATTTCCATAGAATTCTTTACATCGTAATTGGGGATTTCTATAAAAATTCTATACACATTCAATATAAGTTTGACAGATTCTAAAGGAAATATGTAAATATTATACTGTAGTAAATTTTAGAAATATATAAAGTCATTTTAACAAATTCTTATTGATTCTTAAAATTGTATGGAATTCTATTAAAATTATCTACCTGAACTTTATCACAATCAGCGGGGACGCCAGAAATTTGCAGACAAGTGGTCCGAACCCAGAGCCGTATAGAGTCTCGGTCGACGGCCCGGAATAAAAAAAATAAATCTCTGGTAGGTAGTGAAGTGTGTGGGTTGTGGGGGGGGGGGGCTCTATAATCAGTTGAGTGGCGCTAATTAGCTAAAAATACGGTGATGTTAAGTGATTTTTTGTGGGTGACGACTGGGGGAGGAGCGAGAGTAATTTCTGAACCCCTAGATAGGCCACTGCTGGTAGGGTTCATGGAGAGAGTTTTTATGGATTGGTGTGATGGTCCAAATTGTGCTTTTAGACCACAATATTAGGGATTAGCAATTAAAATAACGTTATTTGTATAGGCGAATTATTAATATATTTATTTTTGATCCGACGGCCTAGTCGTGGCGTCAAACGACGGGGGAGGTTCCAGGCCTTCACATGAGTTGACCGTAGTGTTAACAGATATATTTCCCCTCGTTTCACGGAGAATTGTCTCCTTAATTATAGGATGTCGTTTGTATAAGACCCTGAAGGAAATGTAGAAAAAAATCTATAAAAGGTATAGAAAATTATATAGAATTAGCAAATAGAAATTCTGTAGAAATTCAATAGCATTGTTTCTATATACTGTAACCTTATATTTCATTTTCCTACGGGTTCATAGGTCTATTTTTATCGGGTGGTTTAAGATGGTAAAATGTCTCGAGGCTTATATTTGGTAAGATTATAACCTGTGAGCGTAAAAGTCAGTTGTAAAAAAAAGAAAGGGCCTGGGGGGCAACGATATGATGCGATACGATATGAGACAAGAGGTTGGAATTCCGCCAGATACTTTTTCTCATACGACTGAATAGAGAATTTTACGTCGAACGGTTGTGTTGGTACTATGTATATCATCATAATGTTCCTAATTTGTTTTTCACTGTTATGACTTACCTATTTACTGATATTTAATGCTATAAGATATGTTCTGATTACCTTGATGTTTTTCCAAAGCAAATATCCATTTCTATGTCACAAGGGTTTCCAAAACCATCACAGTTGGCACCTGTATATGCGTCGTTATCACCTTGGTATTTATAAAAATCAACTGAAATGGTCGCGCTACCCCATACTATGTAAATTACCTGTGAGAAAAAAGAAAACATTTTTTTATTTGTGTTCTCAGTGATAAGCATTAAAAATCTGAGAAAATGTATATTTTGTGTTTGTGTGTATATAAATTGACAGCAATATGCATTTGCATATTATGTTTTTCCCTACTTCTTCGTGGGCAAAAAACCCCTTTAACTTACATTTGAAAAGAACACCACAAAAGCGATGTATTGAGTGCAATTCATGATTCTAAAGTCAATCTTCAAGTTCGCATGTAAAGCCAACGAGGCTACTGCAATAACAATTATTATTTGTGTGATTCTTTTGTAGATATAATTCACAAATCTTTACTGCGCGCATTACTGGCATTATAAATGTCTTATATGTGACCAGGGCCCTATTATAAACATTTTCCTGAAGATAGGCCTGACTTATCAATCCTAGAATCTCAGAGAACGGAGAAGGTTGCAGTAATCCTTGGAATCGTTAGGATATATTATGACACCACAGGATGCATAATGTTGGTTTTAGAATGTCATTCTTTGCTTTTTTTGTGTTTGGGGGAAGGGTCGGGGTCTTCTTCCTTTGTTTTACATTCTTACCTTTACCCCTTTCTTATTTCACTTTGATATTATGTTTCTGAAGTTTTATAGAAAGAGTTTCACCTTTTGTCATTCTGTAACATTTGTGTTTTTTCTTTTTTTTGTGTTTTTTTTTCTTGTCTGTCTAAAAATTTAACAAATTGTGGATTCAAAACGCAGGGATAACAACACTGGAGAATTCAAGGCAGCGGTGGGAGTAATAAAGATAATAAAAAGAAAAACAACCTTAGTTTTTTTATAAAATTTTTGCGATTTTTCGTAGCGGCGGGTGCGCTAATTGGCCAAAAATAAAATGTTATTTTTATTCGAAATCATCATTATTGGCGGGCGGCGGGTTCGACAAAAAAAGATAGGCCTATAGGTCTAAATAAAGTCTCGCCTTATTTATACGTATGTTTCTCTGTCCAGCAGTATAGATGTACGACCTCGTCAGAACATCAGACGACAGGGGTTCCAGGCCTGTCCGACTAGGGGAAGGGAGAATTCCATCCCTGCCCCCTCCCCCACTGGTGCCACCACCATCTTAGTTATACTTTATCTAATAAATGTTTTTTGGTTGATATATTATTTATACCAGCGAAAGACAGCTTTGTGTTTACATACGCCTACACTTTCATTGGAACTAACTGTATAGAGATAAAAATAAGTTTTATCATCTTGTTTTAACTACCATAAAATGTAACGCGTAATTAACACCATTAAATTGGATAAGACAGCATCTATTGTATGTTGCACAAAGAATTTATCTTGTCAAACACAGGTGTAGGCTACTAGATGAAAGGTGACAGTGAATGTAATAAACAACGTATGCGGTACCGTATTTAATTTTTGCTTTTGTCTTGCTTTATGTTAACGAATCATCATGAGAAAAAACGATATCTTCTAATATTGATTCCTAAAATAGTCCATATTCAGTTTATATTTATACTTAATAATTATATCAATATATTTGTATTATTATTATTACTATTTCGAAATAGATGTTACTATTATTATTATCACTATAAAAGGGTTAAGAAAACGTGCATGTTCCGCAAACATGTAATGTCAAACTTGCGTATGTTTACACAATTGTTTGGTGAGAACTTAGCAATAGACTAATATTCAAGGCAAATGTTGAGATAGAAAGACATTATCAGCTTCGGCTCCATTGGAGTACAAGTTGTTGTAGTGCTTTACTGGTCGTTTTTTGTTGCCATCATTTGCTTTTCAAAGAGCCGTTTTTGTTTTTTGTTTTGTTTTGTTTTTTCTTTTTTTTATGTTAAGGGTAAGATTTATACATATATACATTTTCCGCAGATCGCCATGTTCACTTGCATGTTGAATACTTTCGCATATCTGTATTGGTTCGCAGTGTCTAGATTCCCTCTGTACTACTGGTTCTTCAGCCTGTAGGATTGTTTTGCAGATTCATGTGTAGGATGTTGTTTGTGACTCATACAACGCAGCCTATGTTGTGTGTTTGTCATCTCTAGGCAGGCATAGTATTTTAATATTAAACGACAATCGTAGGTATATTATTATGTTAAACGAAGGTTAAGCGAAAAGTTCATCATGATGATGGCCAGCTAGGCTTATTCAATTATTAAAGCATTGAAAGTGTTGTATGGACCATGCTATCAATAACATGAAGAAGTCAACTAACACAGTATCTTTGTCAAGATAAAGCAATTCTACAGGTCATGAGTTCTGTTTGAATTAGTTTACCGTGTTTCGGCGGTAACTTTACGTTTCATTCAATAATGTACTACCATGGGTATAAAAATATTTGTATACCGCCATCTCCATGGTACTACCGCACATGTTTAATTATTTTTATAACAATGATGGATAATATTGTTTTAATTATCACTAAATTCTCTTTTTTCGTGGTATCGCTAATGTTGAACCTAATGACTTTTGATAATCTTCTTTCTCGACAAATAATACTGGCCTGAAAACACTGATTAGATAATGAAGAATGATAAAATGTTTGTCCATGTTTGAAGCTTCGAGGGCATTCAACCTATCAATGTTTATTTTGGGTCAATCGATCATATATTGTTAAGTTTCATTGACACAACCCAAAAATCCATTAATAACTGTTACCGATAAATGAAGTTCTCCTTTACTACCGTAAATCCATGGAGGGACACACAGGCATAAGCCTAAGATCAAGGTAAATCAAGGTAAAGGTGAATAAAATGAAATAGTTCGGAGATCCCGTCTTGTCGTTTAAAATGGTTAAGAAAAGGGTGTATCACATTGATCTCTGTTTCACGTGTGTGCATCAAATGCTAGTGTTGCATACCGTAGAGTGCGGAATGAATTTCCCCCAATCGGATTCGAAAGACTCAATTGCCCAAAGGTCCCGGGTTCGAATCTCGGTTTGGGAATAT